TTGAGTACTTCCGTTAGAATACCGCTTCCTGGTCCGAACACCGACAACAGACACCACAGCCGACCATACAAGACTAGACGACACCTGTCTTAAAGTAAGCCAGAAGGTAGACTCGTTTATTTGAACACAGATACACAATATATACACTCAGGGGACAATCCCCCCTCCCTGCATAATGACACAGGGCAGGGCAATCTACATTTAGTAACAAGAGACACACAGGTATTCAAACTTCACACCAGCAGACAGTACCATCAGGAGGAAGGGCTGCTGGAGACTCCCCCCCACTACTAAATACACATAAACACGTACATCCCATAATAGTTTGCTCCCAAGCCAGACAAACAATAGAACAATGGGATGCAGCCACAGCCACATGACATTAAACAATCAACAACCCCCACCCCACCTATCTCTTAAACATGTCTACACAGTCTGAGACAAAGCCCACCCAATATTAGGACAGATCACCCTGTACCCCTAACAGGCACAGGGTGATTTACACATAAGAGGGATATGGGGAGCTGAGACAGGGGTTTCCCCACCTCTCCAAAGTGAGATGGGTTCCATGGGCCCCCGTGACTCCCATCAAAGCCCTGATCTGTGCAGCGGCGATGTGACTCCGATGTGCACGCACAGGAGTGACGTCATCGTGGCCCGGCCTATTGAAAGGCGGAAAGCACAGGACCCAGAAGGAAGACCAGGCAAAGACGGAAGCACCGGGGGCTTGCTGGATCGATCTTACCGCAGCGCTGGAGGTCACCATTTGACAGGTAAGTCTGCCATGATGTACTAATATGCCATGCATACTGGCACATTGTGGCATAACCCACCTGGGTGGTCCTAAAAAGAAAAGAGCTTACAACCACTTTATTATCTATTGTTACAACTCTCACTTTGGCACAATGGAAATAAAAAGTCATTAACTAATTTCACATATTCACTTTCACGTATTATAATGTCTAAATCAGAGAGGGACACAAAAGCAGCTTCTGCTCTTAGAACTTCATTTAAAAAGCATGCAATGGAGTACTGGTTAGGGTTGCATCAGTGCCGATACTGCACAAGCACTCGTATTCATGCAAATGTTCCCAATACAGAAACTGATACCTTTGCGGTGCAAAGCAATTTGCATGTGATTCAGACAGGAATCACACCACATTCCTGTTCAAATTGCATACAGTTTCCCGCACAGCTTCTGTCTGAACTCAGGCTTGTCATAGAGACTTTGAGCCCGAGTTCACACAGGAGCAGTGCGGGAAACCTCCCTGCATGATGGGTTCCACCAGCTCTAGCTCCCGAACCCACTGTAGACATCAGAGGCAGCGGCTTGGGCTCCCCTCCTGCCTCTCCCATGGCCCTCTCCCCACAGCCTCCAGCGGTTCCCCTGCCCATTCTCCCCCAGGTTTCGCTGTACCAGACTGCCGATCCCCCGCTGTCAGACAACGAAAAGCTGCTTCACAGGTCCGGGCATTTAAAATTCCTGCTTTCACTCTTCTCCTTGTAGTGCTGACAGTATTGTCAGCTTATGATTGGTCAGCGCATTCATGTGATGGCGTTGACCAATCAGAATTCCTCTAGTTCGCACTGTCAGTACTGCGAGGAGAGGAGAGAAAGCCATGGGGATTTCAAATCCCCAGACCTGTGAAGTGGCTTTTGGTTGTCTGACAGCGGGGGATAAGCAATCTGGTACAGTGGGAATGGGGGGGGGGGGGTTTTCAGTGCATGGATGGAACCACTGGAGGATGGGGGAAGAGAGCCGCTGAAGGCTGGGGGGAGAGAGCTATGGGAGATGCAGGAGGAGCCCAAGCCGCGGCCTCTGTTGGCTCAAAGTCACTATGACCAGCCTGGGTTCACGCAGGAGGTGTGCGAGAAACTGCAAGCAATTTGGACAGTAGTGCATTTTGAGCCCATTAATTTTGTATTTGCTCAAATCACACCGCAAAGGTATCGGTACTCAGTGTCGGCAAGTACTTGACCGAAAGTATCGTTACTCGTGCTCGCTGGTAAAAAAAAACGTTATCGGTGCATCCCAAGTATTGGTTCACCTAAAAGTGATACTTACCTTCTGTAAGCTCTGTGTCCATGCTGGTCTGGTTAGGACTAGGACATGGGTTAAAGGGCCATCCTCTGCCTCCACATGACAGAGCTCATGCCTGGCTTTGGGCAACTATTGCTGTATCATGATTCACATGCCTCTGTAGCAACTAGCCTTGAATCTTTGTCATCTGCTAGTTGTTACCAAGCAAAGCTTAGGTCTCTACAGTGCACATCAGCCCTAATTAGCAATGCTCAAGCAGACTGCTAGTGTCGGGCTCCAGGTATGACCAGAGATGTGTGGACTGACACAGGGAAACGCAGGCTTCAGGTATAGTATAAACAATACAATTTATTAAAGACTAAAACAATACATAAACGCAGTGCAAGACTAAACATAAACAGTGCAAACAAACCAAACCTCCAACAGATAACAATAAGAACAATACTAAACGTAGTCGGGCAGGCCGGGTCGGTAGCAAACAGGCAGGCAAGGTACAAGGAGCAGGTGGAAGAGTAGTCAGGAACAACCGAGGTCAGTACAGGCAGAGTTCGTGCAGAGTCAGGATTCAAGCAGGCAGGATCAGGATACAGGGGCCAAGGGAAACTATACACCAAGGCACTGACTGCAAGCCTGGCGACTCCTTAAATACACCTCCTGCAATCAGCCTCAGGTGATGACTTGATTGCAGGAGTGAGCTTCTGGCTGCTGAGAGCACCCGCTGGCCAGCCCTGGTACTGCAGCCCACACGGCAGGTGAGTCCCACCACCAGTGGTGAGTCCATTCCTGACAGTTAGACTTTCAACCTGTGCCTGATCATGCTCAGTCTGGTCATGCTCTGGATTTCTCTAGCTACTGTTTGGATCAAGTAAGTGCTCTGGTTTGTGGTTATCCTAACCATCAGTCTCGGCAACTGTTAAAGTGGTTCTAATGGCCACAAGTTTTTTATCTTCATGCATTCTATGCATGAAGGTAAATACCCTGTGTGTAGCAGCTCCCCCATCCCCCTCAATACTTACCTGAGCCTCATCGTGATCCAGCGATGTGAATGACAGCCTTGGCTGTCCCGAGTCTCTGTCTCCTCATTGGCTGAGACATCAAACGGGAGCCATTCACAGTCAGTCAGCCAATGAGGAGAGAGAGGTGTCGGGGCAAAACCACGGCTCAGTGTGTGAATGGGCACATGGAGCAGCGGCTGCCCCCCATAGCAAGCTACTTGCTGTGGAGGCACCCGACAGACAGGAGGAGCCAGGAGAGCCTGTGGGGGACCCGAGAAGAGGAAGATTCAGGCTGCTCTGTGCAAAACCACTACACAAAGCAGGTAAGCATACATGTTTATTATTTAAAAAAAAAAAAAAACCTTTAGATTCGCTTTAATCTGGGCCATGTCTACCTGTCTGCAACATGGACTTTGGATTTTGTCTAAGTCTGATCCGACCATTAGCCTACCACTGAATCTGTCACGCTCTGCTTTTTGTAAACTGTCTGGGCATGTACACACTCTAGCATCTGTTATGCCTGTTAGTTTGCCATCTCTGCATACCCAGAAGTACTTGGTATTTCATTTTGCTCTTATGGGTGAGCAAGTATCCACAGAAGAGATTGCAGGCTAATAAAAGAGGCTGTTGCCTTGCCTTGAATGGCCTATTCAAGTGTTCTTTAAATGGTGAGATGACCTGGCATGCGTCTGCAACATGCTTAGGAAGGGGGATAGGGAGTGTTCATACTTGCTTAAAAAAATGGAACTTTAACTCGATTTAAAAAAAAAAAAATGTAAACAAGAAGGCTTTTTTTATTGCAGAAGAAACATACTGTGTTTTTTTATACAAAACCTTCTTAACGTCATGCTCAATGTATTACCCTGTATGCACAGCTTAGTGTACTCAACATGCCACGGGGCTCGGATGAATGTCATGAATGGGAGTTAATTAAATAACATGGCTGAAGATGTCAAACCCAGAAGAAGACCAAGGAAGAGGTCAGAGTTGGAAAGGGAGCCTGCAGAGCATCACTGGAATAAATAGAAATGAACACTACTTCCAGGCATGGAGTGGGACTGATCTACGTGACAGCACTGGGCCAATCACCGCTGTCAAATGAGGGAGTGAAAGGTTAAGGTATCTCCATTTCCAGCTGCATTTACCCTTAAATACCTGTAAATGTGTGTGTTATTATGGCTTAGCGTAGGAACATGAAATAATAGGTTGATGCATCAGGACCCTAATCATTGCTCCATTCTCAGCCTGGATTCCAACCAATAATGGCTCTATTTATTGGCATTTGTATTTATTGGAGCTTGGCAGAGATACTACACAGATGCAGCTTGAAACCTATTTACGCTTTGTAAATTGATTTTAAATTTCTCATAAGTGGCTATCTATTAAACAGCTATAAAGCTCTGGATAATAGCACTGCCGCCCGTGCTGATCATCGAGGATGTCTTGTGGTTGTTAAGTATAGAAAAAGCTCTTTACGTCCCAGCTTGATAGAGATGTGATTTCTAAAGGTTACTCACCCAGGTTATCAACAAGGTGACATTACAGATTATATATATGAGCAATCTCATTTTAACAAGCCAAGCTTTAAAAGGGGCCATTTCAAGTCCTACTTACTTCATAGATCAAAAACCAGTTAAAATGACATCAATTCTTTCCAGCAAAAAAAAACCCCATTGAAGACCGATATTGGTGCTTTCATTGGACTTGTGATATCAGGGGAGGGGCAGAGTGTAGAGTCGGGACCGCCATCAAATTGTGCTATACAGACGGCATGGGGGAGGGAGATAGGGGGAACAAAAGAGGCACTGACACCTTTGAGGTTCTTTATCAGGAAGCACCTACAAACATTTCAAGATGCCCATCCCACCCAGAATTTCAGCTGCACACCCACCCAATCATTGAGGACATAAACATGGAGGTGCCACACTTCACACCTTACATTATGTTATCCACCAATCAAGGCATTAACCACCTCTCATCCGGCCCATGTATATAAACGGCCAGACGGTGGCAGTGCAGGGTCGGGTGGCCATTTATAAACATCCTCCCTGCTTGTGCGCACTCCCTGGGAGCATGCAGCACCGCAATCTGGTGCCCGCTGTGTCCTCTGGACACAGTGGAGCACCGATCGTTGTACGGGACCTCTGTGAGAGGTCCCGATCATGTGATCACTGATTGGCCAATCAGTGATCACATAAAGAGTAGTAAGCAAGATCTCACTTCTGACATCATTGCTTACTACATGTGAAATCTGTGAATGATCACAGAGATCACATGGTACAAGGCTATTCACAATAGCCTTGTACCATGTGACAAGCTGTGACCAATCACAGCTCACACATTATTTCCCAATGACTGCAAGAATGCAGCAAGAGAGAAGGAGAAATTATTGCTTTTACAGCCTTTATGGATGTAAAAGAAATCAGTGTGAAAAAAAAAAAAAAAATCTTTATCAACCCCCACAAGTAGTACAGTGTCACTATGGTGACACTGTACTGCTAGGTTGACAGTATGTTAAAAAAAAAAAAAAAAAATGTAAAACATTTTTTGAAAAATTATAATTTTTGGTTAGAAACTAATTTGGGTTATTTTTTTTACTAAAAAGATAGATGATTACATTTTGGCCAAGATTTATGAAGAAAGATTATTTATTTGCAAAATTTTATAAGAAAAACTATTTTTAAAAAAAATGTTGGACTTTTTCATTTCTACAGCAAAAAAAATACAAATCCCAGTGGTGAATAAATACCACCAAAATAAAGGTTTATCGGTCTCAAAAAATGATAAACAATTCATATGTGTAGAGTGTTGCATGACCGCGCAATTGTCATTCAAGGTGTGATAGCGCTGAAAGCTGAAAATTGGCCTGGACAGGAAGGGGGTGAAAGTGTCCGGACTGGAAGTGGTTAGGTGGCATACTTATGGCTCTGTTGTCTATATCTTAGTTATAACAGTTAACTAACATGTCCCAATGACCACTGTCCCCTCCCCCCATTACAGAAATATGAATCACAGTGAGAGAAAATCAGCAAAAATTTAAAAGAATTGTTTTCTAATTACAGAAACAAGGGTGGGATGTATTTCGTGGGGGAAAGGAAGGTTTGGGGGTCACTTTTAGGGAATGGTTAGACATACCCTTTAAATAACCATTTCACAAATTAACTGCCGCACATCTATAAAACATTTTGGAAAAAAAGAAATTACCATTTTGGTAAAAAAAACAACTGCAAAACATCAAAACGCAGTCCAAATCACGTACACATCTTTGTCAACTGACCCCACCCTATATTGTCCATTAGCGTCATCAAGGTTTGTGATTTAGATCAGTGGTCTCCAAACTGCGGTCCGTGGGCTGGATGTGGCCCTTTACTTGCCTATATATGGCCCTTGGGGCACCATTTCATCCATTGATATCAATGATAGTTCACCATTCCATCCACTGACACCAATGATGGGGCACCATTTCATCCATTGACATCAATGATAGTTCACCATTCCATCCACTGACACCAATGATGGAGCACCATTTCATCCATTGACATCAATTATGGGGCACCTATCCATCCACTGACATCAATGAAGGAGCGCAATTCCACCCAGTGACACCAATGATAGTTCACCATTCGCCCATCCACTGACACCAATGATGGGGCACCATTCCTCCAACTGATGGAATCGGTATCAATTATGGGGCACCATTCCTCCCACTGGCACCAATGATGGGGGCATGATGGGGCACCATTCCTCCCACTGGCACCAATGATGGGGCACCATTCCTCCAACTGATGGAATCGGTCACTACAGTATTTCCTCTCATTAAAACCAATGATGGGGCATTTTTTTAGTTCCAGTCATTCTAGAGCATAGAAAAGTGACGTCTGAAAAAGACAGAGTGGTCCATCGAGTTTCATCCCCCTTCTACTCCCACTGACACATAGTCTGGCCCCCTCAAAGCCTGAAGAACTGACTGACCCTTTGTTTAGAAAGTTTGGAGACCCCTGACATACAGAGATATGGGATAGCTAATACAAGCTTTATGGTGTCCCTTTAAAAAAAAAAAAACCGAGAGAAAATGCGCAGCATGCAGGATCAGTAGAGGCCGACAGTGCGGTTAATTATGCAGTTTGATTAGACTTAGCGCCTGGCCTGTGTCCAGACTTAACATATCAGGGCTTTTCTTGGATAGGAGCAGGCGGATGATTAAATGCCTGAATTGGCAACAGACGTCCCATTAAAGTGAAATGCATTAGAAGGACATTTTCAGCACGTTTAGTCGGTCACATGATCCACTACAACACCCTGATTAAATACATATATTTCTAAAAAATGGCAGAAAGGGAAAAATAATCCTATTACATTTGCATTGCCAGAAGTGCAAAAATCAGCAAAAGCTTAAAAATAATTGCCTATAATTATGCAGCATTAGCTATCTATGTAGATGCCAAAATTTAAAAGAACCTGTCATTAAAGCCGCACTTCATTCTCTCAATCAACATTGACTATTTTTAATCCTTATACTAGAATTAGTAAATGGATAGGAAAGTATATCATATTTACTTGTTTCCAGGCCTAGGCAAATGATGTCATCCATCCCAGGAGGGGAGGAGGGGTTTTATCAGCTAAGAACACTCTCCTGCATGCATGCATGAGCTAAGGGCAGATGGATTCCAGGAATTAAATGCTACATGAATCATCTGCCCTTACTCAAGATGGACATGGCTATAAATGCTAGGGGGTGGGGGTGGGTGGGATGGTTGGGTTTAAAGTGATTTTTCAGCAACATAAAGGATGGAGGCATGGATGGATGGGGAAGTTTGCTTTGAATATTAAAAATGAATTAAATAGCTTTTTTGGTTTATGGTGCTCAGATGCAGCGTAGTTCCGCTTTAATGTTGTATAAAGGGTTTGGTGTTAAATAACATACCAAATGTTTGGTTTAACAGTGCAGCCAGATTTGTGCTACATTGCCTTGTTTTCAAGTTAGAAATTTGCAAGCTGGTCCATTCAACCAGTAGGTATTCCCATGCAACAGAGTGTTTATTTTGAAGAAAAACCATTACGGTGCCTGTATATTGTAATACATTAGGAATGGATTCATGCCGACTTGTAAAGCCATAAAAAAGTTCTTTCATTTCTATTTGTGCATATTTTGCAAGGGGCATTCAAGTCAAAGCTGGACTTTTCATTTTCCAGGTATAAAAAGGGATGCTAGCGGTGGCGGTACTACATGCAGTAGTAAATGGTAAGTGCGTCCTAATATTGATAGGCGCACACACATGTTGCAGGCCAGTCCAGAGACCTTTAATCACCTCCCGTCCGGCTGTTGTACATAAATGGCCGGATGGTGGCAGTACAGGGTCAGGTGGCCGTTTATAAACGGCCTCCCTGCTCCCGGCTTGTACATGCTCCCTGGGAGTGCGCAGCACAACGATCCGGTGCCCACTGTGTCCTCTGGACATAATAGAACACCGATCGTCCTACGGGACCTCTCTGCGAGGTCCCGATCATGTGATCACTGACTGGCCAATCAGTGATCACATGCAGAGTAGTAAGCAAGATGTCACTTCTGACATATTTATTTATTACAGGTACATATATAGCGCCGTCAATTTACGCAGCGTTTTACATATATTGTACATTCACATCAGTCCATAACCCTCAAGGGGCGTACAATCTAAGGTCCCTAACTCACAATCATACATACACATACTAGGGACAATTTAGACAGGAGCCAATGAACCTACAAGCAAGTCTTTGGAGTGTGGGAGGAAATCGGAGTACCCGGAGGAAACCCACGCAGGCACAGGGAGAACATGCAAACTCAAGGCAGGAGGTGCCGTGGCTGGGATTTGAACCAATGACCCTAGTACTGCCAGGCGGAAGTGCTAACCATTTAGCCGCTGTGCTGCCCAACATAATTGCTTACTACATGTGAAATCTGTGAATGATCACAGAGGTCACATGGTACAAGGCTATTCACAACAGCCTTGTACCATGTGACAAGCTGTGACCAATCACAGCTCACACAGTAGTTCTCAATGGCTGCAAGAATGCAGCTAGAGAGAAGGAGAAAGGATTGCTTTTACAGCCTTTATGGGTGTATAAGCAATCAGTGTAAAAAAAAAAAAAAAATGTCATCACCCCCCACAAGTTAGGGTGACAGTATGTAAAAATAATAAAAAAATAAAATAAAAATGTAAAAAAAAAAAAAAAATGTTTAAAAATTATAATTTTTGGTTATAAATTAAGTTGGGTTATTTTTTTTTTACTAAAAAGATAACAGAATAAATTTTGACCAAGATTTATGATGAAACATTATTTATTTGCAAAATTTTATAAGAAAAAACACTTTTCAAAATTTTTGGACAATTTCATTTACATAGCAAAAACATAAAATAAAAATCCCATTGGTGAATAAATACCACCAAAATGAAGCTTTATCTGTCTCAAAAAAATGCAAAAAATGTCATATGGGTACAGTGTTGCATGACCGCGCAATTGTCATTCAAAGTGTGATAGCACTGAAAGCTGAAAATTGGCCTGGACAGGAAGGGGGTAAAAGTGTCTGGACTAGAAGTGGTTAACCAAGATGGCAGACAACAGTGTTAGTGTATGAATGGAACAGTGTGTGGTGTGATGAAGTTGTGAACGTAGGCGTAAAACTCGCGGATATCTACAGAAGACTTCAAGCTCAGTACGGTGATGAGACACTCAGCCGCAGTAAGACATCTGAATGGTGTAAATGTTTCAAAGATGGCCGCACGTTCATCAGTAATGATCCCGGCCATGGTGGTTCCAAGCCCACAACAATCATTCCTGTGAACATTCAGCACGTGGAACGCCTGATCCTGGATAATCGACACATAACCTGTCCAGAAATTGCACAAGAGAAAAATCTTTCTTTGGGAACGGTGAACACAATGATGATGAAATGGCACCAGCTGTCCTGGGATGGTTCAGGCGTACTGAGAACTCTTTCTATGCTGAAGCTTTAGGCCCCATGTACACTGCAGCTGATAAACGGACATTCAGGAGCTTTTTTCTGCGTTTTTTTTCAGCAGCCCCTGAACTCTCCCTAATGTTTTCCTATGTGTCCATGTACACATCGTCGTTTATAGTTGAGTTTACAGTCGTTTTTTTTAACGCAATAACTTGCGTTCAGGAGTAGATTTTATCAGCGTTTCAAACGCCAAATGCTTGTGGATGCGGCTAACCGCGTTTATAAGCGTTTGGAAATTTTTTTTTAACGCTTCCATTTACAGATGCTGTCCAGAGCTTTTTTTCATCATGAAAAATGCATGCAAAGCGTTTTCCCGGTACTCAAATGGACCCGGTACACCATAATTTGAGGTTTCACATCAAAGAAAATATGTTAGACACTGCTGCAATAATTTCTGCACAGAAATGAGCTGGAACACATCCAAACACCACACAAAAAGACAGCTAATCTCAACAAATACTGCTCTCTCTGCTTCTGCTCTCTATTTCTCTCATGTCTAAAATAGTTAATTTTTTTATTATTTTTTAGTGCATTCTGGGCATTTTGGAAGGTCTCCTAAGGTTATCTTTAAAAAGCGCTTCTAAACGCAAACGCTCATAAACGCGGTATGCAAACGCGGCTAAACAGACAATTTTTAACCTACGTTTTCCAGCAGTCAGTTTCCATCGTTCAGAAGTGTTTTCAAAATGTCCCGTGTACATGGAGCCTTAGTTAAATGCTAGGATAAGTGTATAAATGTATCAGGGCAGTATGTTGAAAAATAAATGCAGTTTCCACTCTTTGAAATTTGTTTCTATTATTATATAGATTCAAACATCCCGGTTTGACTTGAACGCCCTGTGTATGTTATGTACACATGGGCAGCCATATTTGTTACATTTGCAACTTCTGCTTCCTGCTAAGTAATGTTACACAACCATTCTGCTGTGCAGCTCCTTCACAAACTGCAAACCTATGAGTTGGCTGACTTATTGAAATCAATGTGCTCCCTGTGTGGCTGTGACACCAAGACATCGAGTGCCAGTCCAAGGCTTTTGTTTTTGCTTCAGGAATATTTATTTTATTTATTCTAGGTACTTATATAGAGCCGTCAATTTACGCAACACTTTACATATATATATTGTACATTCACATTAGTCCCTAACCCTCAAGGGGCGTACAATCTAAGGTCCCTAACTCACATTCATACATACACATACCAATTTAGACAGGATCCAATTCACCTACCAGCATGTCTTTGGAGTGTGGGAGGAAACTGGAGTAACTGCAGAAAACCCATGCAGGCACAGGGAGAACATGGCAACTCCAGGCAGGTGGTGCCCATACACACTGCTGGAATGTTTAAATGTATATTATGGGGAACATAACAGGAGGAGCTGGAACATTCAAAGGTAATAGGGAAAACACAAAACTCCCAGAGAAAAGCCAAGAGTTATGGTGGGACAATCTTGTCACTGCATTTCCGACAATATTCAGTATATGAAGCCAGGGGTGACACACCACATCAGGCTCCACCTAGAACTACAATATCACTTTTGTGTGATTCACTAAGAATATTGCCTGTATTATGTTCTGGTTCTTATCCACTTCACATTCTTGACTTGAAAGCTGAAATCCAGGGATAACCACTTTCATTTAAATAAATTCCTCAGTTGTCAAAATGGATATAATTTCACTTTGTGAACATCAAGTGACTTGGCAAACCCAGATATGACCTTGTAAAATTAGCAATGATATCATCAATGTGCTGTATAAAGCCTGTCCAAAGAGCAGAACTCTGGGGAGGACCCAGCAGACCCCACCCACTATAGGCTGCCTGCGGAAAACCACAGGAGTGGGCGGAGACCAGACCAGTCACCCTGCCCAAGAAGAGAGCGTAGCAGTACCCAGTCTTTGCCTGTGTGCAGGAACTTCCTGTGATAAAATTTCACACTGGATTACTGCTCATATCTGGAAGACATAGACAACACACACCAAGATTCAAGGAGGAATACACAGGACTTTTGTGATTCAACAATATTTGCTTATCCTGAGGTTCAGCTTTATCTTGGCCCTGAGCCTGGCAAAGCAATAATAAAGCTACCTGGTCTGCTAGCTAAGTGATGTGAGCTGTATCCCCCACCTCAGCTATACACTGATTTTAAAGTCTCACATGGCAGCAAGAAAGACATGCTTATCTCACGTGGCAGTTCCAGAATACAATGAATGTATGAAGACTATGAATGTATAGCAATTCACCCAGAAAAAAAAAAAAAACCTAAATATAAAATCGTATTCTATCTTTTCATGTGACAACACTGAAGAAATGACACGTTGCTACAATGTGACGTAGTGAGTGTACAGCTTGTATAACATGTAAATTTGCTGTCCCCTCAAAATAACTCAACACACAGCCATTAATGTCTAAACTGCTGGCAACAAAAGTGAGTCCACCCCTAAGCGAGAGTCCAAATTGGACCCAAAGTGTCAATATTTTGTGTGGCCACCATTATTTTCCAGCACTGCCTTAACCCTCTTGGGCATGGAGTTCACCAGAGTTTCACAGGTTGCCACTGGAGTCCTCTTCCATTCCTCCATGATGACATCATGTAGCTGGTGGATGTTAGAGACCTTGCGCTCCTCCATCTTCCATTTGAGGATGCCCCACAGATACTCAATAGGGTTTAGGTCTGGAGACATACTTGGTAAACAAGCTGAGGGTAAATGTGATGGACTGACCAAGGCAGTGGTCATCTTGGATGTGTGTTTGGGGTCGTTATGTTGGAATATTGCCCTGTGGTCCACTCTCTGAAGGGAGGGGATCATGCTCTGCTTCAGTATGTCACAGACATGTTGGCATTCATGGTTCCCTCAATGAACTGTAGCTCTCCAGTGCCGGCAGCACTCATGCAGCCCCAGACCATGACACTCCCGCCAATATGCTCGACTGTAAGGAAGACACACTTTTGCAAACTGTTTGCAGGCTTTCTTGTGCATCCTCTTTAGAAGAGGCTTCCTTCTGGACGACAACCATGCAGACCAATTTGATGCAGTGTGTGGCATATGGTCTGAGCACTGACAGGCTGACCCCCCCACCCCTTCAACCTCTGCAGCAATGCTGGCATCACTCATACATCTATTTCCCAAAGACAACTCTGGAACCTCTGGATATGATGCTGAGACCATGTGCACACAACTTGTTTGGTTGACCATGGTGAGCCCTGTTCTGAGTGGAACCTTTCCTATTAAACTGCTGTATGGTCTTGGCCACCGTGCTGCAGCTCAGTTTCAGGGTGTTTGCAATCTTCTTATAGCCTAGGCCATCTTTATGTAGAAAACAACAATTCTTTTTTTCAGATCCTCAGAGAGTTCTTTATGGAGTGGCTCCAGCTGAACGTGACTGTCTCATGAGGTGCCATGTTGAACTTCCAATGACCAGTATGAGAGAGTGAGAGCGATAACTAACACACCTGCTCCCCATTCACACGTGAGACCTTGTAACACTAACGAGTCACATGACACATCTTTTTGTGGGAGGGGGAAAATGGCTAATTGGGCCCAATTTGGACATTTTCACTTAGGAGTGTACTCACTTGTTGCCAGCGGTTTAGACATTAATGGCTGTGTGTTCAGTTATATTGAGGGGACAGCAGATTTACACTGTTATACAAGTTGTACGCTCACTACTTTACATTGTAGCAAAGTATAATTTCCTTGAGTGCTGTCACATAAAAAGATATAACAATATATTTACAAAAATGTGAGGCGTGGACTCACTTCTGTGAGATACTATATATAGACATATATTTTAATTTATTTATTTTTCCACATATACAATCATTCTTTGCTAATTGTGGTGAAAAATAGATTAATATTTTATTTTCTGTGCTGGTCAAATGTTTTCCATTGTTTTAAAACAAAAAATACTTCATTTGGCCACTAGATGGCATGGTGTATAATAGAAAATGTGTTTGGTACTTCACACCACCTAGTGGTCAAATGTGGTGTTGGTGGTTTTAAATCAATGGAAAACAGTCGGGCAGCTTAGGAAATAGCCTAACACAGAACACAGAATGTACATGCACTTTCACTTGGTGAATTGCTGTGAGAATGGTTTATAAATACACCCATAATTATGACTAGA